CATTTGTTATTCATTACTCATTTTTAATCATTCATTATTTATTATTCGTTACTCATCATTCACAATTCATTATTCATCATTCATCATTCATCCTTCACCACTTATCACTTATCATTTCAATCACAGATCTCGGGCCCAACCTAATCTTCAGCCCGCTTAGGTGGGCCTCCGTTCTTGAGCCAACGATTAACCTCTTCTCCAGACCTGGACCGTGCGCGAGGGTTCAGGGAAACGGTTTCTCCGACAACACCCCTTCCAAATACTACAACGTAAGAAACGGCACTTCTATCCACTCCACTCCACCAACTCATGCATGCCTTCCCATATTATTTTGGAGTTTTTCTTTGGGCTCAGATTTCCCTGGCTCAGGAAAATTGAATAAGAGACGAGTGAGTTTGCTGCTGCACAGTGAGGAGATGGGATGGGATATGGTAGGATAATTGTATCAAGTCACGATGGTGTAGGGTGTATAGACGGATGGATAGATAGATAGATAGATGGATACTTGTTCGATTTCCCGAGTTTTTCGCCTTGAGGCCATGCTCAGGAGCTGTTAATTGAAGCTCGCTGCTCGCTTGTTCATCCGTTTATTTATATTCTCTTTGGAAGGAGCTTACAGCTCGACAGTATCCCGCGTGAGCTGTTACGAGAGCGGGTAGACTTCGCGCGACTCGGCCACCAGATCAAAAGATCACGATACTACATACTTGGACCTGAAAGGCACTCACGCCTGACATGATCTGACTTCTTCCTCGTTTTCTCTTTTCGTCTCTTCTTTCCTTTTTGTTGTTAGGTGAGGTGTGCACTGGCCAGCCTTGGCAGTAAGCGGACCTGGAGTACCGGTAGTCTTAGCAAGCGAAGGCCGAAGCAGATTATTCCGTACCGAGACATTCAGAATCGAGTGTTTCCCGCTCTATATACCACCAACCATGAAGAAAATGATAGTTGACAAAGATAATTTTGATCTGGCGCTGAGTATGCGCTCATTTATCTCTACACTTTTCTAACATTAACGGAAAGTATTCCTCGTTACGATCTCAAGTCTTTTATGTAAGAATGCAAGTGCTTCTATTGATAGTTTACGGAAAGGCCAAAAAGTCATTTCGAGAGACGAGATTATGTAAGCGATAAATCATATATTTACGACAAAACATCTGCCCCGAATACTTCACAGGGGCTTGGATAGGTACGTTTGTGGGGGGAGGGCGAAACCGACGATTAAAACCTCGCCCTGATAAAGGGATTTCAGAGGAGGCTACGATTCTTTACTTGTACGAGATGCCTTTTACGAACCTTCAGCTCATACTCTTGAGATGAAGAGCCTTTAAGAAAGAGAGTCTGGAGAGCCGCAATTGAATCAATCGAGGCGGCTATGAAAGGACGATTGGGTCTTGGCTCGATGGATTTTTTTTTTCACGATACTTTACGACTTAATACGATCGCAGCCACGCTGCTCGATATTACATTGCATTCGAGAGACGGACTTCTAGCTTACGATACGATCGAGTCGTGAAGCTTTTAGTTATCGATTTTTTTTTCGATCAACCAAGAGGGCTTGACTTTCGCATTTCCGCTTAACCCGTAGTCAACTCGAATCCCTTCCTCGAGCCGATAATCGCTCTTTAGCATTTATTCTATTGCTCGAAACTCAGCGTCGATGTATCTTTACGATAGATAACGCTGCGGACCGCTAGCTAAATACGATAAACACGCAGTATTACTGCTGGATAAGAATATTATTGCAGTACTACCAAACGTACGCTACGTAGTGTGAGAGAAAGACGAGGAGGGAAGAACTGTAATGAAGGGCCGAGAGTATATGCATCTCCGGGAGCGGGGATGTTTGTCACCTGACCATGGCTGACTAATGCCCACCCAACCAACCAGAGCCCTTAGAACCTTCCATGCCAGGACCGTAACACGCAGTACAATTGAGGCCTTTATCGATAAAAGTTCTCCTAAAACGTCCTCGGAAATACTCTCTTATTACCCGTCGTTGGCCGAAACCAATCTAGGAAAGAAATCTCGAACAGCGGCCGCTGACAGCGAAATCATATTAGAACAAAAAGCTTTAAAGAAAGCTTTCAGCGAACGAAGCTAGTTGAAATTAAGGATGAGACGTTTACAAGGTACTTTTCTGCACGAGTTTTTTAAAGGGTCGATTATTTCTTATGCCTCGAAGAAAGTGGAGTTGTTTTTCCTATGCCTCAACCCACTTTTTGAGTAGGCCCGCCTAGCCAAATCTACTCGCTGCTTTATACACAGATATCAGCTTAAGAATCAATTCTAAAAGATACGCTATCCGCGCGACTAACGGTCTTGTATAATAAATACGATCAAAGCATATATGTTTTCCTTACTATATCGATACCGTAGCTTCTTTAGTTCGAAGGTCGTAGTTGCAACGAGTGCGCTACTTGCATGTATCGTTAAAGTAGCATACGTATTTTATATAAGTCTTCTCGTTATTCGGACACTTAAGCTTTTATCGCCCGCAAATAGCTTGATTAAGTACTGCGTCTTTGAAAGCTTTCAGATTATGAAATACATCGCTTTGCTAAATTAAAATAGGTTTCTTTTTAAAAATCTTCAAGAAATAGATCGGTATCTATATCAGAATCGAGTATACCGAAGCCGAGGTCGTTAAAAATAGCGTCCGAAGATTCTACTAAAGCATATAAGCAGCGTCGATAATAAGGATTTCCGCTATTATAGCTAAACAAATCGCGATAATAATATTAAAATTGAAATTGTATAGAATTCTAGTATAAGCGGCGTTACTGAAAATTTTTCTTGTATAAAGCAGCGAGTAGATTTGGCTAGGCGGGCCTATTCAAAAAGTGGGTTAAGGCATAGGAAAAACAACTCCACTTTCTTCGAGGCATAGGAAATAATCGACCTTTTAAAAGGTTGTATAAGATTTGCTTCAAGAAAAGGACGAGCGAAATTGGAATAGCAAGCTTTGACCCAAGGCTCTTTTTTTCGTTGCTAAACGCTTGATATACCGGTAGTAGTAGCTGAGAGAAGTGGGGAACTTTTTGAAATTCGTAGTACGGAGTACCGCACACGGTAAACTCTCCAAAGTAGCGCGCGTGGCTGCCAATAACGTATAATCTTTGTTTCGTAACTGATCAGTGCGCTGATTGCGCGAAGAGCAAATTGACCCTAGATAAATCAATTATAATGGATCTGTGGATAGGAGTTAGAAGCTCTGAAAAGAAAAAAGCTAAGAGAAGCGTGGGAAAAGCTGGTGGGCAGCCCTCGATCCCCGAAATCGCCGTTGGTAAGCTTCACAAGCTTCAAACCTTCAAAAGAATCTACTCCGTACCGCGTCATGTACCGTAGAAAGTCGTTTCGGGTCTAAACGAATGAAGCAAGTTGCCCGGCAGAACCTAGGATTTCATTCTTACCACAACTAGGTTCAATTGGAGCCAGAATGTGGTCTAGAGGCTCAGGTAGGCATATCGATGGTTCAGGCATTATTTCAGAGCTACTACGTATATCACAGCTATCGATCGATGTTCATTGCATCCAAAGGCGTTGTTTACATTCAGCTTCTCATTTTAGTAGGGTCTCATAATCGGAGGTGCTACTTAGGGGCAAGTTAGGTCACCGCCTTCACCCCTGCTCTACATACCGGTAGCAGAATCGATGGCAGAATAGTATTTCCCCGCCAAACACCAACCCCTTCGCTAACGAAGGCGGTGACCTAGCTTGACTCCGGCACCTCTCGTACAGCTCGCGTACCTAATTGAGCATAGATTCTGCCCGGCTGCCTGCTTCATTCGATTAGACCCGAAACGACTTTCATCAGTTTATGTTTATACGGTATATCAATTGGCCTTTTGCGCATTCAGCGCACGGTTAGTGTCGAGTTTATGCGGCATGCGGTAGATCGTATTTCAGGTCTTGACGACGAGTGGTCTACTGACCGTCCCAAAAATCAGGGACCATCACCAAAAGAGATGGTCCAAAGACGGTCCGTGGACCGTTCAAATAACTCACCTTGCCTTTACGGTACTTTTCAAGTTTCAAGGCTAATTAATATTTTTCGTATTACGTACATTGCGTAAGTTGACGTAAATGGCAAGTAGCTTATGTAATCTCAAAGTGAGCTTGGGAATGATTCTCTTCTCCTTTCTTTTTTCGTTCTGGATCTCTCTTTAGACGTCTTGTACGCTCAGCTTATGAGGTCGGTGAGGTCGGTGATGTCAATAAGGTTGGTAATATCGGTAACATCGACAAGGCTTAAAAAAGTTCCGCAAGGCTCGTAAGGTTTAAGAAGAAAGAACGAAGGTCGAAAAGTACTACGTACTGTACGTACTACTAGTAACGAGTTCCAATAGTTAAAAGTCACGTTCTGTGCCATCTTACTATCCCCCTGGCCAGCGAAGACGGATTTCTGAGCCTGTACGCGGCGATAGCTACGAACCTACGATATTTTCAACAAATATTCGTAAAGCGGATCAGAAAACGCACCTTTCGAGGTAATCGAAGCGATTAACTTTGATGCTAGCCGTTTCTTACGTATTTGCCGACGGAACGGAGTAGGACTAAAGACACGAAACGAGTGTTATAACATACTTTTTATGCAAAACTCGAATTCGATACCGTTGATCAGGTCGATAAATCTAGTCGACGATTAAATTCGACCTATTTTTCAAACACTTTAAAAGTGGTATTTACGATCGATTATATTACTGTAGGACGCTAAGGGAAATGAAGTGGATACGGTAACGGGTTAGCTTTTCGAAACCCTCGGGATAATGATTGCTATACGATAAAGGAACCTTTAGCAAATGCTAGGTCGAAGACGCTTACAACTATAATCGGTTACAAATATAAATCGTACGGAAAAGAGAAAAGGAAGAAAGATCTCGGTCGAATACTCGATTGAATGGTCGGAAAGACGGTATGTCGAGCCGCTGATAACTAGTCGCAACAAAAGGCGACCGCAGCGATTAAAACATTAACAACCAAGAATTGCCGTTAACAAGAAGCACTAAAATATACTATGTACTACGTACTAGTACGTCCCAGACTTCAAGCCCCCTGGTTACCCTACCCTCAAGGGTGTAACAATTACGCCTGGGACGTACCTAGTAGTAGTATATACTGGCTCAAAGATACTTTTCAAGGCTGAATGAATTCTTATACTATGACTTGATCGGTTTAAGGCCTGGTAAATCCCTTACAAAATTTATACTTTCGACATGTATTCATGGGGGAGGAGGGGTATTGTAATACAAAGCTCGCAAGCTCGCTTTGATGAAGGGAGGTGATGGTAGTACTATATAATCAAGACAATCAACCACATTCATCAGAACATCTTTCTCCCGTGAACAACTACTACTCCAATTGAGTACCAGCAATACTTTTTCCCTTCCTTTCGAATACAGAGATAAGAGTCAGCCAGCCCGAGATGCCTCTCCTTGGCTCTTATCTGCTCTTCTTCTGTGCGGCGGTGCTCACGCTGGTAGCGGGCTGGGATATCAACAATGTGAAAGATCGCCAGAAATGTCAGGCGCTGACCAAGAATCCGCTGGATGGCTGTGATTCCAGTCCGGGGCGGACACTATACGTGAATGCTGCGGGTAAGAAGTCGCACTTTAAGAGTGTGCAGTCTGGTGGGTTTTCATTTCCTTCCCATGAACTTATTCGAATTCGAACGATAGAGTGAAATTAAGGATACAGGGCTGATGTTAGTATAGCTGTTGAGTCGTTGCCGGACAACACTGGTAAGATACGCTAAAGAGTGACTTCAAGCGCGGAAGGAGGACGGAAGACAGATTAGGAGGAGCTGCTGACGGGATTGGGGTCTAGAAACGTATACGATCCTGATAGCGCCAGGGAAATACACTGAGCAGGTAGGTTACCTGTCGTCTCTTTCCTCCCCTTCTCCTCCCCCTTCTTTCCCATTCCCTCTCCTCGAATCTCAACCACCCCGTTCTCTCAACCCACGACTCACTCTACCGCTCCCCAGGTCAACGTAACTCGTCCCGGCCCAACTTACCTCCTAGGCCAAACCTCTCACCCACTCTCCCAAGCCAGTAACACCGTGACCCTTGTCTGGGAAGCCAGCGCCTCGCCAGGCATCGACAATGCGTTCACCAGCACGCTGACGATAGCGCCGAACCTGAACGCGAGTCTGACGGGCGCGGGACCGACGGGGTTCCCCGAGCGGGAAGACAACCCGTTCGGGTGTGTGGATTTCAGGACGTACAATCTGGACGTCGTGAATGACGCGCCGGACAGTAAGTTTTTGGTTTCTGTCTCTTATCTCGGTCTGTGTCTGTCTACGTCTGCGTCTTGGCTTTGAGAAGAAGAAGAAGGGATAAGGGGAGGGGTGTGGGAGCATTGTGTGAGGCATGGACATGGCAAGGAGAGGGAAGTGAGGAAGGGTTGAAAAGGCTGACAGGCAGTAGATGGGGTTCCTTCATTGGCGTTGGGCATCAGCTACGCCAATGGCGGATTCTACTACACGGGTTTCTACAGCTACCAAGATACCATCTACGTCGGCAAACTTGGCAATGCGTATATCGCTAAAAGCGAGATCGCTGGAAAGACCGGTATTTCCTCCCTCCCTCCCTACCATCCAAGTCCAAGTTTTCCTCTGCCTCTCCCCAAGGGCCAAGAGCATCAAGATCACACGGATGAGACAGTGCTAACACGGTAGGGACACGTGCAGACTTCCTCTACGGCTTCGGCACCTGCTGGATCACCGACTCGGCTTTGAGACTCCGCTCTTGCGGCGGCGGCATCGCGGCCTGGAAAGGCACCAACACGACGGCGTTCGAGAACAAGTACGGCGTGTACGTCGTCGACTCCGACGTCCGCGCGGCGAGCTCCTCGCTCAATATCAAGGGAAAATGTGCACTCGGACGGCCTTGGGTGCGTTTGCCTGCCTATTCCCCCCTATCAATCTTCTCTGCTCTCTCCCTCTCTCTCTTTTCTCGTCTGTCGATTATTGATCAACAAGCGAGCCGCCAAGCCGAGAACCGGCCACTTGTGGCCTTCCGCTCCGTATATGCTCAACAATCCCATCCCATCCTTCTCCTTGAAACCTACCCTTCTCATCCATCTTAGAGAGATTCCCTTTTTATTTTATTTTTCCCCCGGTGCTACCACGAAGTCAAAAAGAAACAGACAAGAAAAGAGTCCCTCTCGACTTGCCTGCCTGACTTTGACCGACTTGAAACTGACTTGAGCCGTGAAACTTTGCTGAATATAATTTTTTTTAGAATACCGAGCAGCGCGCCATATTCGCCAACACGTATCTCGATGATAGCATTCTGAGCACGGGATTCATCGACTGGAAGCCCTCACGGTATGATAGCCACCGGACTCTGCAGGCGGAGTATAAGAATTATGGGCCGGGGTATGATGCTCAGGGCAGGAGCAAGGCGCAGTTTGGGGTGCAGTTGACGGAGGAGCAGTGGGCGGAGTATAGCAGTCCCCAGAAGGTGTTCCAGACGAGGGAGGGGAAGTTTGGGAATGTTGACTGGATTGATTCGGGGTTTGAATAATGTATGTTTGTATTTATGGTGGAGAGCAGGACTGGGTGAGGTCAACAACAGGTTATCAAATTGCCGAGTTGTTGATCAGTTAAGAAAGATCACATTCACTGTACAAATACAAAGCCAAATACAAAGCGTGGCCAATCGTACCATTAATTTCCTGACGCACAATATTACAGCTTGCTAGCGGGGATAATCAGGGAGGATGCCTTGCTCAGAGTCTCCTCAGCCTCACGCTCAATCCTCTTTACTAATGCCTCACACGATGGAATGTCGTGGATGAGACCAATAACTTGACCAGCAGTCCACACCTAAGTAGTAATTAGCCATGATTTGTAGGACAGCGGTAGGAGGGCTTACACCGTAGTCTGGGTCTCCATTGAGGAACACCTGTCTTCCTCTCTGGCCACTAACATACGGCTGAACCTCCTCAAACTTGCCCGTCGTACTTGTCCTCTCAATCTGCGTCGCTGCCTGCGACACTTTGTTCTTGAACAGCCGACTGGTATTCTTCCACCTTCTCAAAACAAGCTCTGTATCGTTCTCTGACGCCTTGACGATCGAATCCTTGATATTGTTGTGGATCGGCGCCTCAATGGTGCACATGAAGCGAGTCCCCATGTTGATGCCCTCGGCTCCCAAGCTTAGCGCCGCAGCAAGACCCTGTCCGTCTGCAAAGCCTCCCGAGGCGATGAACGGCACCTTGAGCGACTGTCTCGCCCGACTCAACAGAATCAAGTTCGTGATATCCGTCTCGCCTACATGGCCAGCACACTCGAAACCGTCGATGCTCAGAAAGTCCACGCCGAGCTTAGCGGCACTCTCGGCATGTCTGATCGTAGTGCACTTGTGCAAGATTATGGTGCCGACCGCCTTCAACATCTTGATGATCGGACCAGGAGAGTTTCCAGCCGTCTCCACGATCTTGATGCCCTCGTCGATAATGACTTGTGTGTAGGCGGGGTAGTCGGGGGGGTTTATAGAGGGGAGCAGCGTGATGTTTACGCCGAAGGGCTTGGTGGTCATGGTCTTGCATCTGCGGATTTCTTTGCGCAGGTCTTCGGGGGTGGGTTGGGTCAGAGCTGTGAGGATCCCCAGGCCGCCGGCGTTGGAGACGGCGGAGGCGAGTTCTGCGTAGCCGACCCATTGCATGCCTCCTTGGACTATAGGAACTGCGAAGAGTGTCAGTATCTTTCTTTGAAAAAGAGGGCTGCAATAGAGGCAGATGGGCAGAGAGCTCAGCTTACTCTTGATCCCCAGAGCGCGGGTGAGTTGTGTGTTGAAGGGCATCTTGGAGGTCTGCGTTTCTCTATGTCGCAAATCAAAAGAGTCTTGCTAAAAGAAAAATATATGTAGTTATCGAACCTGCGGATTTTCACTTAGGATACGGGAGATTGGAATGAAGTGAAAGAAAGGTGCTGTTTTTAACAACGACATAGTTAAGTTTTCCCCCACCGTCTCCCTGAACTGAAACGGCCAGGCCGAGGCATCGAGGCATCGGTCGACGAACAGCCGCCAACTAGGTTCGGCTCGTGGCTGGGCCTTGTGAAGATGGACGATGACCTTAGTAATCATAGGTACGACTTGGCGATTACTGAATACCTCGTGATATTTACTAGTTGGGAAACAGAGAGATATACCACTCCCACGAAGAGAAGAAATTGAGAGTCCCAGGAGGGGTATTGATGGCGGTGATATGTATACAGAGTAGAGATAGATATCCTGGCGACAATTTAGTAGAAACAGATCACGTGACAATACAAGAATGATGAAAGCCCTCTCATTCTTATCCATGACGGGAAGACCCTTCTTTTTCTTCTTCTTCTTCTTCTTCCTCCTCCTCCTCCTCCTCTTCTTCTTCATCTTCCCTTGCCCAAGACCTTACCTATGTGAGGTGATGAGATGATGCTCGTGCCCTCTTTCCTCTTACAATGCAATGCACCACAACGTCCAACACAAGAAAACACCACATCGTCCCCATTTCCAAAAAGCTCACCTGCCACGGAGCCCGCAACTGGTAGCGGCCTTACTCCAGGCTTCGGATTGATATAGAGCCTGCCTGTGTCACTAGGCTCTCTCACACTCACTCACTCACTCACTCACTCACTCCTTTTTTTTGCTCTTTCTGGGCTGGGCAGCAGTGCGTAATGCGCTGTTCGCTCAGGGCTGCCGTCCCGCAGCGCCGCCGACATATGAAGAGCCGTACGTACGTATTACAACTATATACTTGTCCGTCTATCAAGTCGCCACGCATCAAACTTCCTAGGTATGCTCGCCCTGCTTGCTCGATAGCTGAAGTCCTCGAAGCTCGACATTGCGGCCTCACTTGTCCGAAGAGGCTGTGCATCGTCGCCAAAAACCACTGCACCCGGGCCTATGGTCTCAATGCCTGCAATTGTGGCTTCAAAGGCTTTAGACTTGGCCTACGTCCGACCTGGGGACGCTCGGCCCTGGCTTCATGTCTTGCTGCCCTCTGACGAGAAGGTCCCCGTTTGAAATGGAGAAGGATCGACGACGACGACGACAGCAGCAGCAGCAGCAACATCAGAGATCTTGTATATGGTCTTCAGTGCTCCATCGCCTTCGTCCATGCATGACCGCCAACGAGATGGAACTCCACTTTGCTGGCGGGAACGGCAATGCAGCCGCACGAATAGCCCGATGTGGGCTAATTAGGACCCCCAGCTTGACACCTTCTCCAACGCCCCCGAGCTCAGCGTACCAGCTTGTCGGGTCACCCGGGCAGATACAGATTAGCAAAGCGGTGAGGGTGTAGGTGCCCACGATGGCGATGACCTTTGGATCTGGGGATGCGATGGCGATCAGGAGCTTTGATTGCAACGAAATGCACTTCTCAGGGCCGATACTGGCAAGCTTTGGTGAAGTACATGTCTCTTTGCTTACCGTTCCTCCAGATCACGGGTCACTCACAGTAGTACCCTCGAAAGCAGGAGCTTCGAGATGAGTGACACAGAGGTTATCATCTCAGGCTTATGTAGCCATCCGTTCCTGCAGTGCTGCTCGATCGAGCTACAAACTCCGGGTATCTGTCTTAGTCGGGCGATACATAGATAATCGGGGCACACGGATACGTTTCCAGGTCCTCAATCGAAGCCCCGGATGACACCTCCCCCCCTGGTCCTGTCCAACCCAACGGGCCCAGCGGGAATCGGGATGCGACTGGGCCCGTTTGATTACGACTTAATAACATAGGTTGGGGCCCTCATTTCCGTACAGTCGTATGTTTTGGGGGGTACTGGCACCACACCCGGTAAGATTCCGTTAAATCTCATCTGTTTTCTGTCTCAAAAAGCAAACAACAAAATTTGCACCTGAAAAAGAAGACGGTGAAGAGAACACATCAAGTCTCACCGGCTCCTTGAGATGTATTCGAAGTATCGCAACCATCGAGGACAAAACTATTGATACTATCGCCTGTACTACGTTTTCATCGACCTGCATTGCCATGCTGTTCTTAACCTTAATTGGGCTTTGCTATGAGATGAAACTGTCCAAGTCATTCTCCCAGTCTCTCCCCTCTCCACTCTATCTCTGCCCACGCATCTACTGCCCAACTCGACCCTCTTTTCCTCGTGTCTCATGACGCTAACTGTACAGGCGCAGCAAGGATTTTGTGCTGGCGCTGCATTTCCGCTAGCATATTTTCGTTCAGGCCTCTATTTGCTTTTTGATCTGCTATATTGTCGGTTTTTCGGGATGGTCGTACTAGAACTTGTTCCGCCTCAGATGGAGACAGCACACACGGCGGCCTTACATTCATTCCGGTGATCGCCGTTCTTGCTGCCGAATACCATTTCTTTATCGGTTCAAATGCACTATGCCGAAACATATTTGAGTCTAGTAGCCGTGTTGCAGTTGCAGACGGAAGTGCAAACGCAGACCAGCTGCTGGCTCTCCTCATCTCCTTCGCACACTCACTCGACTGCCACCTCAGTGTGCCACACCTCAACCGCTGGACCGACTCTGGAAGAGCTGCAGGTATTACCTATAAGGACCCCCTCGACCCGCCGTTTTCTGCAGACCATAGCGCCATATCCGAACCTGCACTCCACTGTCTGACCCACACCCCAGCTATACACATACACCTGCTACCCCTCTTCGACGATCATCTTTGACCGATCAAAAACGATGTCCTATACTGGCTATACTTCTGCTGCAACCTGGCAAGAGAGACTCGAGGGTAGAGCAATGGCATCCCGCAGATCAACTCAACTTGCTCACGCGTAACAGAAAAGTGCCGGGAGGCCAACTACCACCCACCTGTATTCCAGATCATGTCTGATAGAAGAGGTAAGCTCCTGCACCTCTTGCATCCTTCTCAGTGGACATAAGGACTCCAATTGACTTTTACTTTGCAGGCGGCCGAACAGCTTGGTCGAGTACCGTCACTGTACAAGGCCAGAATATCCCCGCACGCTTCTGGTACGATGGAGACCATGTCAACAACGCAAAGGAGGACGCTGCCGAGGTAGCATTGAAGCACATCAGCGGCTCGTCGCCAGGCTCGCCTACACCAACTCGAGCGGGCTGGTGAGTACTATTCCATCACAGCGACGAGACTTCAATACGGTTTTGGATTGGCCTGTAGGATAGCGGGGTTATGGAGAATCGACAATGGGACAGGGTAGCATGGGCAGGCGCAAACCGACGGACGGCTTCTGGCGCCGGGAATATGTTACGGACACAACAGGACGGGCGTGGAATCCGGAGTTGGGCAGCGTTATGAGCTTGAAAATTTTCCATTCTTGTACTGGGGTTTCCGAGGGGAAATGTTAGACTTTGATTCGCTTTGGTTATCTTCTCTTTTTTCATCAAGCCTGTTTTCCAGTTTCAAAGTAGATGTTACTGTCAAATTACCAGAATCTTCTTGACCATGATTCTCTTCTCGCAAGGAAGCTTCGCATTTGCCGTCTGCAGTTAGTTCATCTGACGTCGGATTAAGTTTCACGAGATGGACTTACAAGAAAATAGGAATCAAGACGTCTCTTCAGGTCGTACAGGTTTCCAAGCTTCAACAGCGTTCAACCCTGGAGATGCGAGCGGCACTTATCCATGTCGGGGTCTTCGTCCCACCTACTTTCTAATCACATGACTACGAGCACCGAAACTTTTGATTATCGGCGCCGAAGTCGACGACGCAGATAACAACACAACACCACACCTCAACCATGCCTCCACGATTGAACCTCCTCGGCCCAAGCCGATCGCTTGTCTTCCGGTTGCGCCCATCAATTGCTCCACGCCAGCCACGCGTCTCCCCCGTCGTATCGAGGAGGGCGTTCGCCGATGAAAAGGAGAAGGAGCCTGCCACTGGCCCGAACCAAGATGCCCTGGGACATGTGAGCGAGGAGGCAGCGGATTTAGGCAGAATTACCGGAGAGACGACTCCAGATTTGGGACAAGGGACGCCTGTGCAAGAGGTATGTACGATCTATGGGATCCCAAATTCGCAGATGGTCTTCGATGACATCAGCACCATCTCCCTCCGGAGCCAGATGCGATACAGTACGGTACTGATCAACACGACTACAGATTCTCGAGCGCGACCAAGAGGGCAGAGAAAAGGCTCCTCAGGTCATCAAGAAGGAGATGGAGGATACTGCCAAAGCCGCCGACGCCGCGGACACGACGTCTTTCGCGAACCTGCTCGCCCTGGGCCAGCTGCACAACATCTCCAATGGCGGCCACGCCTCGGACCCGGTCGACCTCGGGCACAAGTTTGGGGTGCCGGAGTTGCCGCTTCCGCGTGATGGGAACTTCAAGTACCGGTATGACCCTGTGGTGTCGCAGGTGACGACGCTGCTGATGAGGCACGGCAAGCTGAGCGCTGCGCAGAGGGTAGGGTTGTCAGTTTCTCTGGGCTTTTCATTCTGCGGCTCTTCGTTGCTGCGCAGGACGACTCTATATCCCTTCCTCCCAGTACTCACTCACTCGGATTTTGGCAGAACAGGTATGCTAATCTGGGTCTGCTCTACAGAATATGTCCCTCATCTTAAACCAGCTCCGCACCGCCCCCCCTCCGACTGTGAACCCGCTCCGCCCTCTCCTCCCCGGTACCGCGCCCGCCTCCCACCTCCCCCTAGACCCTATCGGCTACCTGACCGCCGCGATCGACTCTGTGGCCCCCCTGCTGCGCATCCGCTCCCTCAAAGGCGCTGCGGGAGGAGGAGCTGCTCTGCAACTCCCCGTCCCGCTCGGTCTCCGACAACGGAGACGGCAGGCTGTGCAGTGGATCCTTGACGCCGCCAACAAGAAGGAGTCGAAGGGTAGTGGGCGAGGGCAGTTTGCACAGCGGGTCGCGAATGAGATTATTAGCGTGGTAGAGGGCAAGAGCAGTGTTTGGGACAAGCGAGGGCTGGTGCACAAAACGGGAACGTCGGCGCGAGTGAACCTGACGAAGAAGACTTATCGACGACGGATGTGAGCATGCTTCATGTAGCGGAGGGATCGGGTCGGGTGTATCATATTGTATGTCCATTGAAACAGGGAAAGACCGGTAGGTAAAAGCAATACCGGCCAGTCAGCCAGCCAGCTCCAATGCATGGCTTTTCGTATTTACTTCTGGAAAAGCATCTGGTGGTGTAAAGCGGTGTGGTATGGTGTGTTGTCGTACGTTGGTGTGTGTTTACTTTGCCCGGTCTGCAAGCGAGGAGCTCTGGGGGAGAGAGAGCTTGCTAGGCCGCGAAAGATGCAGTGCAGCCAGCAGCACTGCCACTGGGTACAGCAGCACATTTTCACATCTCATTTCGCCGCATTTCGTTTCGTCCCAGGACATCTAGGTACCGGTATGTCCTCTTGCTTACCTTATTTCGTTGTCTCGCCTA